AAAAAAATACTTCTTCAATTTAAAAAAAAACTAGGAATACTAGGAGCTTTTTGTAAAAACTAGGAAAAAACTAGAAACCAATTCAAAAAACTAGGAAAACTAGGAAATACTAGGAACGCTGGAGAGCCTGAATTTTCATGACAATGTGATTAAATGACAGTCAAAAGATTATAATTTAAAACAAGGAACTTAAATATATTGAAAATTTATTTAGATTCAACAATGGACTACCTAGCGAGATACATTTGTGCCTCGATTATATGCTGTTTCTGTTACCAGTGATTTTTTGTTTTCCCCAGACCAGTGCCGATAATTGAGGTACCAGTGTATATTTATTTACTTTCACGGTAATGAGTGCATGGTAACGATCACGATATCAACAACTATTTCATAATATTGCCTGAACTAACTGCCTTTGGTTCCATCTGGGTCTAAATACATGTACTGATTGGTTCAATTGAGAGAAAAAATAAAAATAAAATGGTGTGAAATTAGTAATATGTTATGTAACCACAGCACTTCATTACTGAAAAAATATGAAGTGCTGAATCCACCTAAAATCCTAGAAACAAAGTTCAATTTAAGACTTAAAGAATGTGAAAATAGTTCCAGACTTCCAAGAGTCCAGAACTGTATTAGATTTGTTTGTTTGTTTTTTTAATTTTGCACAAAGCTACACGAGGGCTATCTGAGCAAGCCATCCCTAATTTAGCAGTGTAAGACTAGAGGGAAGGCAGCTAGTCATCACCACCCACCTCCAACTCTTGGGCTACTCTTTTACCAACGAATAGTGGGATTGACCATCACATTATAATGCCCCCAAACCTGAAAGGGCGAGCATATTTGGTGTGACGGGGATTCGAACCCGCGACCCTCAGATTGCAAGTTGACCACTCTAATTACCTGGCCATGCTGGGCCAGTATTAGATTTGAGTTCTATTTAACATAGCCCTACGTACAAATAAAATGGGAGAAAATACCAGGTGCCATGATGAAATTTTTAGTTGCCATAGCGACCTGGTGCTCGGGATTTGTCGAAGCCCACTTTAAGATAACACAAACACCCTTCATTAGAGTAAATAGTCTTAATTCTCTATTTATTTCAGATAATTTGATTCTTATTTTACAGTATTAGTTCTGTGACTATTCTGTGTCAAGAGTTAGTGAGTCAGTTTTAGGTGCAATACAGCTTGAAGGTACTGACTTTATGAAGTAATAGACTAATTAAAATTATGGCTGAAAGTATTACAATCACTAGATATGTATCAACTAATATACTTTGTTGATTAATAAATGAATATTTTTAATTACTGATTAGTCTAGTTTAACAGAACCTCAAAATATTATACACATCAAGCATATTTTTTACTGAACCTTTTTTTTCAAACTTATTTCTTCCAATGCTGTATGTGCAGCCCCCTCTAAACCATTGCCATCAGTGTTTTAATTTTTCAGAAGCATGAAGAAAGGATATTCCCCTTCAAACTGCCTAAAGTTTACCAGTTTTATGTTTCAGATAAGTAAATATATATTAAAATGTACACCCCTTTTTTTAACATTGTATTTCTAAAAATAAACCTGGCACTGGGAGAGTATTTCATCTATAAATGTGGCAGTGAAAGAGTTAAAAACCAATAACTTATTTGAAAACTTAACCCACCTGGTATTTATTTGAGCTTTGAGTACTGCAAAAAAGACTGATGTTTATAATGGCTTAGATATGGTTAAAAAAAACTAGGATTTCTGACTACCACGTAATCTACTAGTTTGGCATAGAATAAGATGGAATGCAAGAGAAAATATGTAATGGTTTTGTTTTAAATATAGTGATAGTAACATTTACTAAGCCAAAAATAAAGGTAAGTCTAAATAAAAAACAATTTCTTATATATCAATTTTAATTCCTAACTTAAATATTTTCCATGATACCACTCATTAAATGCACTTTGATATCAGAAACCTTACTGATATTTCCATTACAGTTTGTGAAGGTATACAGTTCGTATACAACTCAAATCACAACTGACAAAGCATAACTTGAGAGTCCTTACTAAACTGACTCCATGAATGATTAAAAAATCATGTATGCATGCAGCTGCATTCTATGATAATTTCTAAAACAATACTGTTATTTAGGAAACATATATATATGGAAGAAAAATATAAATTTGTAAGAAACTATTTTGTAACAGCCACAAATATTTGCATGAAAAGGTGTTAGTGCTATATAAAAACTTTTAATTGGTTTTAAATATAGTTTGTAACTTGGTAGGTTTACGAGCATTGGCAAGTTTGTGCAGTATTTCTGTATACTTACAGTTCCATACCAGTGTCTGACAAAATACTTAACAGAAAGAACAATATTCCAAAAATATTTTTAATGATTCCTCTCCACAAACATTCATTTGAGTTCATCACAAATTACCTTGATTCTACATATGATTTTTTTCTGCACTATGTAAAAGTTGTAGACTTAGGTATACATAAATAAAATAAATTTCAAACTATGACAAATACACACACACACATATCACTCATTGATCTTCTCAAGAAGAACTAGAGTATCTCAAGCAATACTAGGAAGGATCTTTTCATCCATGCAAAATTGACAAAATAAAATACTTGAAATAAAGAATAAGATACAAAAAACACTGTGTAGGGTAATGATAAAAAAATTAAGGACTTTTCAGGGCTTTTTCTAGGACCAAACTGTCATTTTCAAGGACCTAATTTATTGATTTTAATAGAACACGATCTCCACCAAAATTAAATAACTAATGTTTTATTACATTGTTTTTAAAATGTAGTTCTAGCACTTTTAGCAGTATGAATAACGCCAGAGCTATTGAAAAAAAAAGAAGCTTTTTAAGCAAAAAAAGAGCATCAAAAAAGCCATTAAAAAAAGCAGTAACAAATTTTATCACTAACAGTCCCCTAAGCAGTAGTTGAATTAATGAAAACATTTGCATTCTGGACAAGAAATAAAGCAAATGGATTAAAAAATCATCCTGCATTCTTGAAATAAACAAAAATTGGAAAATGGATTCAATAATAAAGTAAGATCCATCTTAATCCTTTATAGATGATAGGGTGTCACTGATATCATGAATTCAAACCAAAAAATTAACCTAACTATTATGGAATGAAAAATATTTCAATGAAAACTAGTTCTACAAATAATATGAATTAAAACTTGACAGAATTTTATTTTAAATGTTTAACTGAAGTAATATTTCTCAAAATTAGTTAAAACAAAAGTCAAAGTAATTATTATGAAAACAAATGTTCAACAAGTTACAAGTCAGTTCAAATTTTCATTAGGCATTTTTTTTTGGTAAGTTATGTAAGTTACTAACACCTTTGAAACAAAATCTAGTACAGATCTATATCTATTTATAAAACTGATGAAAATCTATGATTAATGTGCAGGTGCAGAATGCAAACAGTTCCAATCAAAGGTTAGCACTTCTTAAAATCAGTGAACAATATATTTGCTGCCATCTGGATTGAATTCCAATAAACTTAGTGAAAATCACATATAATGACTTCTTATTGTCTAAAATTTCATAACCATAAATTACCAACATCATCTATAGTAGGTCATTTGAGATATCAGAAGTACTGACTGATATGTGGTTCAGGACCTTCATTTTGACAGCTATCAGATTCAAGACAATAGGTCATGGTGTTATGTATAGTAACATTTACAAGAAAAATTGTTTACCTTGGTAAAATGGCAAGATTTCATTAATTTTTTGCAAACACATGGTAGTTAAGTATTTGAACACACTTCCCAAATGACAGCACGCAGATTTTTTTTTACACAAAAAAATCTAATGCGACAACTGTCTAAGTACACTTCAACTTTTCTTAAGTGCAGTTTAATAAGTGATAAAGCCTAGTGCCTTTCTCCAAAATACTGTGCTCTGGTCAGAAGTAAAAACTCCTCTAATGTGCAATCGAAACTAAATAATATTTATTGAACATATTTCAACTTGCCAATAGGACAACTCAACTTGTATTTGATTAGCTGTTGAAAATACATTACAATACATCACCGTGCCAACCAAACTAACAAAGCAAAGATTCACACGCATATTGTTACCTATACCATTCATTTTGTTGTGCATATTACATTGTTGTATAACATAACTCATGTTTTTCTTTTCCACACAATTGCATTCCATTATTTTTTAAACTCTCTCTCATTTACTGCTGCAATTCCACTTAACAAATAACTTTTCAAAGAATTGAAAACCTTGTGGGTCAAAAAAAAACCTTTACATTTCAACATGGTGTTCAGCCTGCAAGTTTTATTGTACAATATCGCAAATCCATATTGAAATGATATTTAAAACAATAATTGTTTTAAACAATTTTATCTGTTGTAAAGAATGTTGTCACATGTATCAGTCATTACAGAGTATGATGATTACAAGTAAAATAATAAACCAGTTTGTTAGGAATTTTATTAATTTTATATCTGAAAGAAAAACTAATAAGAACATAAACAGAGAAAATAATATTAATAACATGCACCACAATACTTTATTTAAAGCCTTGATTGTCTCCAAAATATTTACCGTATTTTTCGGAGTATAAGATGCACTTTCTTACCTCAAAATTTGATGTCAAAATCTGCTTGCATCCTATACACCGAAGGTATGAATAATATATATGCATATAAACGATATACACAAGCCATGTGTAAATATATTTAAATAGGCATGCAAAGTTTAGTTCAATTGAATGTGTTATTTATAACAATAGTAGTTTTTTTTTTCTTTGATAAACATAACTATTTATAATGCTCCTTAAATAATAAAGAAATAAATTACAGTGAAAGCAATGAAAATTTTGTAGGTTTTGAACCAAACTAAATAACAGTAAACCTTTTTTTTGATTT